CTGGGCTGTCAATAAGAGATAATCTTAGGGGAGAAACCTGGCAAGGGAGAAACTCTGTTCGAGAACAATCCAGTTCAGGGCAGCCAGAATCAGACAGAAAAGAAGCATTTGACCCCTGCCAGGTGAGTCAGGAAGGCAGTTGAGAGCTGCCAAAGGTCCTAGGACTAGAGAAGATCTGTGAAAAATCCAGAAAGTATTTCCTGGGGGTGGGGCAGTGGCGGGAGAGGGGGGACAGACTGAAGTCAGGAGAAAAGCAAGAGGATTTGTTCACCAGCTGACCTCTCCAAGCCAGAGAGCCAGAAATGGCAGATGGTGGAGGCAGAAGGAACAGCAATACAGGATTTTTTATTTTATTTTATTTTTTACTGACTGTAAGTGGGAGATCTGGAGCTGAGGACCAAAGAGGGGTGAAGGCAGGGGCTCACTGAAGGAACTTATCTGCTGACATCTCCATGCTGGAGAACAGGACCTAGGGGAACTATGAGTGGGTTAGGAACAGGAACAGATGCTCTCCCAATAAAGACAATCCTACATTGAGGGGCTGCAGAAGATTCTCTCTGGGAAGTGTGGGCTTGCACTCCATCTGGAAGGAGTGTGTGGCTGTCCTGGAAGAGAGATAGAAGAAAACTGACAGAGTTCAAACGTGGAAAAAGGCATATAACATGTGAGAAGCATGGCATTTTTATGACTACATGCACTGTAGTGATAAGTGAACTATGTTTTGGTACTTGTGGTTGATATGCTTAAGAAAGCTGATTATTATTAAGGCACAAGAATCTGTAGTGGACTTCTTGGCTTATCTGACAGGGGAAATTGAGTTGGGTGCACCAACTATGCTGTGGTCTGCCATAAGAAGGAGGTCAAGTTGGAGCTACCTTATGTTGGGGTGAGGGCTGGGGAAGAAATCTTGGGCCATCTTTAAGCCAGAGTGAATGAAAATTGCTCAGACTGCAATAGCCCTGGGCCTCAGAGTTAAATTAATATGTTTACCAAAAAAACAAAACAAAAAAATTGGGGACAGTTCAAACCCCAATTCTGTTCTCAATTAAACCTCAGGAACGCCACAAAATTGAATGGAAAGTTCTTCTCTCATTTACACAAATGTCAATTTCCAGTAATTCCAATAACTTCAATGGAGTTGTGCCCAATTTCCAATGATAAAAATTGATTTAAAGTTTGCCCATAGAGACTGGTTTTGTCACACTTTTACTTGTATTGTCTTATTCTCTTTGTGGTCTGACAGAGTTACAGAAATGAAAAATATCAACTGTGTCATCAGCATCCAGCACTATTGTATGAGATCAAACATCTGGAAGCATCATCAGTATGTTACATTACCAGCCGCTCATTGAGCTTAATACTACAGTACTTCCAATGTTTGCAATTCATTGCATAAAGAAAAGAGTCTAAAGAGTCTTTGAAAAGCTTCTATCTGTGTATCTAGAGGAAAACATAAAAGGTTGAACAACTCAGGAAACTTGTCATGGAATACAGAGCTGTTCATTTATTTGTGGCGGGTTCAATAATGTCTGCAATGCAAATCATTGCCATCTGATAGCTGCTTAAGAAATTATAGCTGGTCTCAGGTTCAGTTCTCAAGTGTTCCCCCATTGTAACTGGGAATGATTGGTTACCTCAGCAAACTGAATAAAAAGTCAATAAGGCCTAAAACTGAACCTACTTCTGCACTCCTAGAGGTTGTCCTTTCTATTTGTAGTTGAACCACATGTTATGCCTGTGCTGATGGCTTGCCGCCCGGGGACTGCAGTTCAACAGAGGAGTTCAGTCTTTAGAATTGTCCTGTTGAAACACTCAGTAGTAGAATCATTTTAGTTTGATTTTTGCCTTTAGCGCCTGGTAGTTAGATTGTATTTTACTTTTGTGAATAATGTTGGAATATACAAGTAACAACATAGCCATTGTTTGTAATGGATGTTCTCTATGATTATAGTCACTATGGAGGCACATTTACACTAGGAGTTGGAACTAACAATGAGGCCAAGCACCTGCTGGAGTTGCAGATTAAACTACTTGCTCATCTAGCTTTGAACTAGTCACCAGTGCAATGGGAAGGAGAGGGAAAGCATTAAAAGACTTCACTACTGTGTTAGTAGTTTTGTGGAGAGAGGACGTTGGACTGCAGGCTCCTTTCATTTCCAATAAAACCATCTTAAATATGTTGTGTTGTATTGCGTTGTCAAAACAAGATGTAAGAACAGTGGAACAATGGAAGAAACTGCTTTGGGAGGTTTTAGAAGCTCTTTCACTGGAAATTTTCAAAAGGAGGTTCGATAGCCACCTGTTTTGGATGGTGTAGATACTACAAATCCTTCAGTTTGACAGGGGGTGAGACTAAATGAACTTTATGGCCCCTTGTAATCCTTTGATTCTATAATTGTAAGACATTTTAACATTATTTAGACAAACCCTTTCAATAAGGCCATTTATATATTTCTGAAATCATATAATTTTGAATCTCTGTTCTGTGAAAATTTTGACTTTTTATCCTAATTCAAAGCAAAAACCAATATTCAGAGTGTCAGAATTCATGCAGGATGGAAATTCCATTTTCTAACGATGTAATTATGAGGAGTTTTGCCTG